AGCTTCATCATTGGTAAAATAAAGGCTTTAGATTGGAAGTCTTCTAGAAGTCTGTATCTCTAAACACCTCATCCTATTAAAGGATATATGGATTCATTTGCATAATTTATACTCCAAACTAGAGTCAGCAAAAATTTCTTGTAAAGGGCTAGACAATAAATATTTTAGGTTTTGCAGGTCAAAACTATTTAACTCTGCCATTGTAACACAAAAGCAATAGACAACACATAGACAATTTAGCATTGTGGTCCAACAAAATTTCCCTTACAAAAACAGGCTGTGGTTTGTCAGCCCATGTCTAAACTATCATGCGTAATAAAGGAATAGTGAGACTACATTTAGCAAGAACAAATTTGGAAACATTCAATGTCGTTTTGCTAGGGGAGCTCTCAACAGATGTTCAAGTCTTCTGCTTTCCAAACTACATAATTTAGGACATAACGACTGTCTCTCTGATGTTTTTTGTAAAGAGAGATTATACAGATTCAAACACCAAACCAATCTATCAGTATATATATATATATATATATATATATATATATACACACACACACACACACACACACACTAGGTAAGCACACATTTGTACATATGATATATTTCAAAAGGTGTAGTCTGGTTTTCAAATCCAGGTTCGATTCCCAGGCTAGGTCACGCATGCCTCTCAGATGTATGGCATAGCCCAGATGACACCCATGTGCAGTAACACAGTGACACATATGCATGAGCACACACCTCCCTGCACACAAAAGGAAAACTCTTACACATGCACATTTTAGTGACCTTTGCTGAATAGACTTAGTGCACTATTATTTCTATTAAAAAATATGTTCCTCAGTAAACAGTAGACAGAAAACATATGTGTACCAAAAACATGTTATTTCACCCTTAGTGCAACTAAGGAGCTGAGATGGAAATTTGGTCCAATGTTTCAAACTCTGTTCCTCTGTATCAATGTGATATTCAAAACAAGTTTGATATTTCATTCAGCAAACAGTATGTTATTCTGCTATGCGCCTAGCACTAGGCTAGAGTTTCTGGGAGATAGGAATTTATCAACATTGCCTCCATCCTCAAGAAGCTTCTAAACTTGGAGGGATGACGTTCCCAAGAAAAGTATTTACTAATGATACATTTGTTGAATAACAATATTGGAATTAAATAACAATGAAAATTAAAAAGCAATTCCAAATAGTAACATAAGGAATAGCATCTAAAGCTATAGACAGAGAGAGAGATAGATAGATAGATAGATAGATAGATAGATAGATAGATAGATAGATAAAGACAGATACAGGATGGTTAGGAAACATTTTATAATTTAAGAGGAGGAAGAAAATCTGTTGGAATAGAGTTATATAGTAAAGTTTTGCAAGTTATTGGTTGTAAAGTTCTTTTTTTTTAAATTTATGACACACCCTTGTGGCCAAGTTTATTTAATTCATTTTCTGCAGCAGTGAGTTCTTTTGTTTGTACCATGAATGCTTCTGAATGGTGGGAGAAACACTTGTGACTGCCTTTCCAAGTTGGTGATGGATACAGGCATCAGTCATACAGAGAGAAGGACCCATTCCCGGCCTCTCCAGGGGCATGAATAGCTACCTTCTCCTTGTCTTCACATGGTCTTCCCTCTAGGTCTGCCTGCAAAGTTCCCCTTTTTATAAGAACACCAGTCATAATGCATGAAAGCCACCCTAATGACCTCATCTTAACTTAATTACCTCTGTGAAGACCTTACTTCCAAATAAGTCCACATTCTGAGGTGCCGAGGGTCAGGACTTTGAAAGATGTGTTTGGTGAAGACCCAATCCAGTCTTCAGCACTCAGGATCGAGAATGTCTCTCAGCATGGAAAGGTCCTATAGTGCCACATCCCTGCCCCTGTTTCCCATTATCCAACTCTCTAGTCATTGCCAACCTGTTATAAGCAAAGCAGTGTCTCACTGGATTTTCACTCGCCTTTCCCTAAATTCCGAGTTCGGGCATCACCTAGTGTTTCGGCCATTTGTGGCTCATCTTCTGTCAATTGCATGTTTATAATCTTTGACCATTTTCCCATTGAGATTACTGTTATTTTTTCTTGTTAATGTACAAAACTGTTTATTTCAGATACTAGTTTCTTCTCACTTTGCAAATATGGTTGTAAAGTTCTAATACTAAACATGAAGTGGTGTAATGTTGAAGGGAAAGTGGAATAACTGAAGATGTACAACATAAAACTGAAAGCAACAGTAACATAAAGAAATACCTCTAAATAATTGAAAGACATAATATGGAGTCTAGTAAAACATACAATTAATCAAAAGTAAGGCAGAATATGCCCTGGGTGGTGTGGCTCAGTGGATTGAGCACAGGCCTGCAAACCAAAGGGTTACCAGTTCAATTCCCAGTCAGGGCACATGCGTGGATTGTGGGCTAGGTCCCTAGTAGGGGCCTGCAAGAGGCAACACACACACACTGATGTTTCTCTACCTCTCTTTCTCCTTCCCTTCCCTTCTCTCTAAAATTAAAAATAAATAAAATCTTTTTTTTAAAGTAAGACAATAAAAAAGTGAATAAAAACATTTGAAACAAACAGAAAACAAAAAATAGTTAAAATGTAAACCCAAACATATCAATAATTGAATAAAGTATAAATGGTCTAAACATCCCAATTAGAAAATAGTTTGCCAGGTTTGCAGAGGGGGAAAGCTAGACCAATTCTATGCTGCCTATAATTAAATCACTTTAAATATAAAAATACATAAGGGAGAAAGTAAACAGGTAAAATCATGCAAATTCTAAACAAAAATCCAAAAACCTGAAATGGCCATATTAATATTAAACATAGTAGGCTTCAGAAAAAAGGATATCAGTAGGAATAAACAGTAATTTCACAAGGATAAAATTATCAATTCATCAAAAGGATGTCACATTCATAAAAGTCTATTTACCTAATGTAACTGAACTTCAAAAGTCATGAAGCAAAGATTGACAAAACTGAAAGGAGAAACAAATCCACAATTAGAGTTAATTTCAACATTCATAATAATTGCTAAAACAAGTAGCTAGAAATATCAGTAAAGATATATAAGACAGACAACAATATCAAACAATTTGATCTCATTGTGATTAACAGACCACACAAACACAGTAAAATATATACTTGCTTTAAGTGTACATGGAATTTTTACAAGGTAGACAATATTCTGGGATATAAACCAAGTTTCAATAAATTAAAAGATTGAAATTATATAATGGATGTTCTGACCACAATAGATTACACTAGAAATCTATTATAGAAGTATTCCTAAATATACTCAAATATTTGGAAACTAAATTACACACTTCTAAATAACTTATGGATCAAACAAAATCCAAAGGTAAATTTCAAAGTATTTCCAATTGAATAAAAATGTATAAACAGGACATCAAAGTAATGGTAGGGAGAGGTCCCTTTGGCCTCTCCCCTTGAAATTTCCAGTTTAAAGATCTATGAATCAACAAAGGGTTCCCTGGTCAGGGCACAAACATGTCTGGTCCACACACTGAAACAGCTGAAGGGGAGCAGGTGGAGGCGAACCAGAGAGGCGGGAAGGGACAAGAGCTAAGATGTTTATGGATGGACCTTGAGAACATGATGTTAAGCAAAATAAATCAGACAGAAAATTTTAAGGACCATATGATTTCACTCATATGTGGCACAAAAAACTGAAAGCAAGAAATGAACAATTAAGAAAAACAAAAAACAGACACAGACAACAAGATGGTGGCTTTCAGATGGAAGATGGGTCAGGGGGGTCAGTAAAAGGGATCAAATATATGGTGGCTTTGACTTTGGGTGGTGAGCACACAAAGCAATAGGCAGATCATGTATCGCAGAAATGTATACTTGAAAACTATATAATCTTTTTTAAAAAGATTTTATTTGTTTATTTTTAGAGGGGAAGGGAAGGAGAAAGGGAGAGAGTGTTTGGTTGCCTCTTGTGTGTTCCCTGCTGGGAACTGGCCTGCAACCCAGGCATGTGCCCTGACTGGTAATCCAACAGAGATCCTTTGGTTCACAGGTTGGTACTCAATCCACTGAGCTACGCCAGCCAGGGCTGAAACCTATATAATCTTATTAACCTATATTATCTTATGTCGCCCCAGTAAGTATAATTTTTTAAATAAAATAAAACCATCATGGAGGCATCTGTGAAACACTAGAAAAAGCAATGATAATGAGGTCAGAAGACCTGGTTTTGAATCAGCCTGGTCACATAGTCAGCTGTGAAAACTCTTTAAATCTCATTTTACTCATTTAATTAATTGGAAATAACATCCACTTAATAAATTTTTCTGAGGATTAAATGAGATGGCAAATATAAAATCCTTGGGTATTGTACAACGATATAAAGTACCACATGAAGTAAAACCCAGCCAGCCTTCATTACACAGTCAACCCCTGAACAACATGGGCTTGAACTGTGCAAGTTAACTTACAGTGAATTTTTTCAATAAATACTGTAAGTATATTTTCTCTTCCTTATGATTTTCTTAATAACATTTTGTTTTCTCTAGCTTACTTTATTGTAAGACTACAGTATACAATACATATAACATAAAATATATAAACATCAAAATTTGTGGATGCAGGTAAGGTAGAATTTATAGGGAATTTTATAGCACCAAACACCTCTACTAGAAAAGAAGAAAGATCTCAAATAAATGACTTTAAGATACTACAAAAACAAGACCAAATGAAACTGAAAGTAAATAGAAGTAAATAAAGTTTCAGGTGGAGATCAAAGGGACCAAAACCAGAAAAAGAGAAAAGTGATGAAATTAAAAGCTAAATCTTAGAGAACATCAATAAAATTTATAAACCCATCCAGGCTGATCAGGAAAGAAAAGATACAAATCAACATTATAAAAAATAAGAGTGATGATATCACTACACATTTATACATATTTAAAAGGTTTACAGGGCACTATTATGATTAATTTGATGCCAGTAAATTTGACTTGGTGATGGAAACAAACTATCAAATCTCACTTAAGAATAAATAGATGATTTTATGAAGAGCTGTATAGTAGAGAAATTGAATGTTTTTATTACAAATCTTGCCACACACACAAAGAAAAAATATTCCGGACTTCACTGGAAAATGCTACCAAACATTTAAGGGGGAAATAATACCATTTATACAAAAGCCTTTTTGGAAAACAGAAGATGAAAATCGATCAACTAATTTTATGAAGCCAGCATTACTCTGGTATCAAAACCAGGAAAAGAAAACCACAAGCTGATATTCCTTGTGAACATAGATATAAAAATTCAATAAAATTTTAACAATAAAATCTGGTGACATAAAAATGAAAAAATATCACAACCAAGTAGAGTTAACCTCAGGAACTCAGCTACATGATGTGCTCTGGGCCTCCATGCAGAAAATCCGTTCTTCGTACCCATCCCCCACGCCAGTCCGTGGAAACCACTAATATTCTGTCCCTATAGATTTGCCCTGTCTGGAATTTTGTATAAATAGTACCCTACAGCATTAATTCTTTTGTAGCTGTCTCATTTCAGTTAGTACAACGCTTTTCAGCTTCATGAATTTGTGTTCATCAGTAGATGGCTACTTTTTAATGATGAATTGCTTCATTTTATGAGTAAGCCACATTTGTTTACCCATTCATCTGTTGAGGTTGGGTCGTTTGCATTATAAGGCTATTAAAAATAAATCTGTAATTATTATTCATGTATAAGTCTTCATAAGGTCATATATTTTATTTCCTTTGGGGAAATATCTAGAAAGGGTATTGCTGAGTCACACAGTTAAGTGTGTGTTTGAAAAGAAAAAGAAAAAGCTCAACTTCCAAGACAGCTGTTGTACTTCTCATTCTTTAAGAAAGAATGTATGAGAGTCCCAGCTGCTCTACTTCCTTGCCAACCCTTGTAACCAGGTATTTCCCTTTTATTTTGTGTATGTTCTTCAATTTTAGTCATTTAGTATCTCCCATGGTTTTAATTTGCATTTCCTTAATAACTAATGATGATGAGCATTGTTTGTGCAAAGTTGTCATCCGTACATCTTCTTTGGTGAAGCTTTTGTTCACATGTTTAGCTTGTTTTATTATCACATTATTTGTCCTCTTATTATTGAGTGGTTAAAATATTTTTATAATATGAATACAAGATGTTTTACTAGATGTATGTTTTAAAATCTATTAATTTGTGGCTTATCTTTTTCATTTATTTTAGAGTGTCTTCTAAAGAGTTTTTTTTTAATTTGAGTAAGTCTATAAAATTACCATTTTTTTGTATGGTTTGTGTTTTATGTTTGGTAAGAAATGCTTGTCCAATTCACTACCTAGTCCTTCCTGTGAAATGGAGTTGGAGAAAAATATACAACTTGGCTAACTCATCTCATACTATTAGGTCACAGTTATATTTTCCTATTCCATCCACTCGCCCAGTATCCTTGACAACTATTCCACTTAGTCTCATCTCCTAAAATCTACCAGTTTTGCCATTCTAACTGTTAGCTGATGACCTTCTTATTTCACTGGGAAAACAGTAACTTCCAGAAGTGCCCACCCTGTACCTTTGCCCATTTATACCAACTCCTCTTCTGCTACTAGAAGTGTCTATGCTCCAGGCAAAGGCTAATTCCAAAATTTAGGCACTAGATCCATTTCCCAACCACCTGTAATTCATGACATTCACTCCACATATCTCTCTTCAGAATCCTCATTTCTCCTTCTTTACTGCATCATTTCCATCCACATATACACACACTTCCAATTCCCATCTTAGTTAAGTCTTTTGATCCCAGGCCTCCTCTAGCCACCGCCCACCCTATTCTCTTCCCCAGTGCAGCAATACTCATTGAGAGGGCAGTCACCAGATCTTTCCTCTCAGCATCATTTAAACCTGCTCCAACCAAACTTTTGCCCTCACTAACCCATCAAAATTGCTCATCAAAATCACCAAATCTGTAAGTCAATTCTCACTTGTCATCCTTCTCATTAACTGTATTTTCATAGTTTTAAAATTCTTATCACATGAAGACTGTGGACTCTTGAGTGGAGATGTTGTATCTCAATTTTCCTATCCTGAATATTAAAAACATTTAATTATATGTGTAACCCTCAGAACATGCCTGTTTAATAAAATGACCAAGGAAATTTCTTTAGTATCTTTGAAATGAAAGATCAAATTAGAGCACATCATAGTTTAATAATCATAAGTTTAGATAGAATCCTGTTGGAAAGTTGACATGAATTTCTGACTTATTTACCTTCAAGATTCTTTAGATGCCTATACAGCATAAGAAGACATAAGCACAAAGATCACACTTTGAAGACAGATATTCAAATATTTACATATGTGTACCTAAGTTATTCACAAATTTGTTTACATTATATCATGATGTGGTTTATTACAATAAATCCTGTAAAATGTATGAAGTCCCTTCACATAATTAGAAATAAATTTATCCTATGAATTTATACTTTAAATAATTGAAAACAAAACTGAGAGGCAAGACAAGGCTGTATTTATTTCTATTCTACAGAATATCCTTAAAATAAAAATAGGTGCAAAAGTAATTCACAGTGTTATCTATACAATAGCTAATGTATAAATAGCTAAAATGTAAAATGCAAGTATTTTAGATTTTATTTCACCAAATTGCTCTTTTTTTTGTCACTTTTCAGAATACATTTGTCAATTGAAAACCAAAGCCTTCAGCTCCAGATGAAGTTAATTTTCCGAAATGTGATCGTTATCATCTAGAACTTGCCTCAGTTTCCAATCAAAATCACCAATGAATATTGTAAAATTAATTTAATAATATTCATCTAAACTAAAAAATTAGTTTCTTAATTTTAGTTAAGAAACTAAACTTAACTATAATTAAGTTATAGTTTCTTTTTCACTTGTATATCTAATTACCATGTAAGAGATTTAAAAAAATAAAGCTGTAGGTTTCTTAGGACTAATAATAGTAACTCAGAGTTACTATTATGGAACAAAATGGATGCATAAACACGTATAACTGCTTCTGTGAAAGAGCTTTTCAAAATCAAGTTTGAAAGTACACTAAGCTTGGTGTTTTGGGTCACCTAGGACTCTCTTACTTAACTCATATCAGTGAGAGGTCAAGTGAGCCGTATGTCAAATTAACTTGCTCAAGTTTCTTTACTCAACTCTTTTAATGCCCTTTAGGATCACCGCTACTGAAAAGCTATTGTTGCCACCTATAGGATAAAACCTGGTGCTGAAAGGTTGGTATTGCAAGGGCCCAGACACCACAGAATTGGAAACTGGACGGCACCAGGTGCTTTATCGCACTACAGGGAAAAATGAGTCTGTGGCTCAGCTGGTGTGTGTTGACAAGGAAAAAAGCTTCAGAATGGCTTTAATGGTTGACTTAAAAACTTGTTGAGATTGCTGACTGAAAAATTAACAACTTCATATTTTTACATATTATCTTTCATATATGAAATGTGACAGTTATAAGAAAACAGACCCTATAATACTGTATTAATCTAATGGAAGCAGAGATTCTAGTTAAATAAAACATAGTGTTGGTAATTTAAAATAATTTAGAAATCTATTCTCTTTAATGTTTTCAGTTCAGTACAAATCAAATCTATCACCAAGGAAAACGCATAACTAATAAGAGTCAAATTCTTATCAGTATGAAATAACTAATCTATCTTTTAAATGAACCATGTAGAGATTATATTTCATATGAAAAATTACAAATTGATATAGGTATCAAAAGCAATTCCTAGAAGTACAATTATGCCTGAGGACATTTATCCTACAACTTGCCATGATAAATATGATTTCTTAATTTTTCTCCACATGACAATAAGCAGTTGTAGTTTTGTCTATTTTCCTTTTATGTGCAGACAAAAAATAAAAAATAAGTAAAAACAACTATCTTCTCCTTGTCTCTAAGGACTTTTTATGGTGAGTCAAAAAATTCTTTAATATACTGCTGCTACCTTCTAAACTCACTGGAAAAAATATCCCAATCATCTGGTGAAAGTGGAGATCTAGATTGGAAATATCTCTTAAATATGAAGAACCATAAGTAAGCTCAATTTTTCTAAAACAACCACACAAAACGACAATTGTAAATGAATTCATTTCATGTCAAAAACTGAGCTAACGACTACTTGAATATATCATGATATTACTTCATTTACAGTATTGATTTACAAAGTGTGTATTCACAAAGTGTATGTTGTCATGGACACAGATAGGAAACAATCAAGTCCCTTTGTGTTATGATCTACGTGCTCTGGGCTCTAATGTTCCGCATGTCTCTCAGCAACACTGGTCGGTAGTTTTGTTCCAAAATTTCCATATAGTCAAAGTAATCACTCACTCGAAACCCATGCAGTGCTTCTTCCTGTCAAAAAACATAAAGAGAACAGTTCATTTGCTTGGGTAAAGACACACAATTCTAAGTTAATAAATTTTAAATAGTTGGTGTCTTTTTTTTCAGTTATAGGCAAGGAATTTCATGTTGCTAGTAAATGTATAATTGTTTTCTATTTGATAGGCTGTGTGTGTATATGATGGCAGGAAACCATGTCCCTATGAAACAAGGTTGTGTGTTTTCAAAACCAAAAATGCTTTACAGCTAATAAAAAATAAAATGAACTCAGATATTTTAGAGACCTAAACAGGTCTCAATTACAGAATGACTGTTTACATTTGTAATTTGTAAAGATCCTAGAGCTTTTCCAGTAAAGAATACTATAATACCACAAGACATACCTGTTTTCAGCAATTGTTCACAAAACCTTCAACATTGCAACTCATACTGTTGGTACTATGTATGTCTATACTAATTTGGAATTTAATGGTTAGTGTTCCAGGAGAGGCACTCAAAAGTAAAAACAGTAGGGACATCCGTTTAGAATCTTAGCAGCTGTTAGGGAATTTTATGACTATTTCTTTTAGAATAATGGCTATGCAGGATCCATCAAAGTTAACAACAGCAGCAGCATCAAAAATCTGCAGAAGGAGGATTATGCTTGACTCTGTAATAAGTATTATGTTAGTTTTGGAGGTTATAAATATTTGGGATAATTCATGCCTTTCTGGAGATTATAGTTTAAAGGTAAAATTACTAGAAGAAGAGGGGAGGGAGAAGGGCACAGAGAGTCTGTTCAAACAAATAATTGATGAGAACTTCCCCAAACTATGGAAAGAGCTGGATCCTCAAATCTGAGGAGCAAACAGAACTCCTAATTACCTCAATCCAAAAAGGCCTTCTCCATGCACATTGTATTAAAACTGTCAAAAACTATTGACAAATAAAGAATTTTCAAGGCAGCCAGGGAAGAGAAGAAAGCAGCCCGTAAAAGAATGCCCACTAGGTTATCATCAAACTTCTCACGAGAAACTCTACAAGCCAGAAGAGATTGGAACGGACCAAATGGGATATAATATTAAATTGCTAACAGCAACTCTGACAAGAGGTTAATATCCAAATACTCATATATGAAGAACTCATACATCTCAACACCAAACTATCCAATTAAAAAATGGGCAGAGGCCCAACAGATATACGAAGAGATGTCCAACTTCACTAGCTATCAGTAAAATGCAAATTAAAACTACAATGAGACACCACCTCACACCTATTAGAATGGCTTTTATCAACAAGGCAAGTAATAACAAGTGTTGGGGAGGATGTGGAGAAAAAGAAACCCTCATTCACTGCTGGTGGGAATGTGAACTGGTATAGCCACTATGGAAATCAGCATAGCAGTCCTCAAAAAATTAAGGAGAGGTACCACGGCAGCCAGGAATCCCACTTTTGGGTATTTACTCAAAAAACATGAAGATGTTTATTTGCAAATATATGTACACCCTGATATTCACTGTAGCACTTGAATTTACGTGGCCATGGCATGGGAACGATCGAAGTGTCCTTTGACAGAGGACTGGATAAAGAAGATGTGGTGCATACATATAATGGAGTCCTCCTCAGCCATAAAGAAAGATGAAATACTGCCATTGGTGACTACATGGGTGGACATTGTAAATATTATACTAAGGGAAGCAAGTCCATCAGAAAAAGCTAAGAACCACAAGATTTCATATGTAGGAGAGAAAAGTGAAACTCACAGACACAGAAGACAGTATGGTGGTTACCAGATGGAAGGGGGGTTTGAAGGACAGTGAAGGGTTAGGGTTAGTAAAGGGTAAAGGGGACCAAATACATGATGTTGCAAGACAATATGAATTTGAGTGGTGGGCACGCAATGTAATATACACATCAAGTATCATAGAAATGTATACTTGAAACCTATATAGTCTTATTAACTAATGTCCCAAGGAAAAAAGTAGGGTAAGTCCCTTTGAGGGGGTTATATTGGAATAAAGAGTTGACTCTCATTAATAATCTTCAGGAAGTAATACAAAATAAATGCTTATCTCAAAAGGTATAGAATGTACTGTATACTGAGGGCATTTAACAAAGAATTCCTGTTAATGTCAAATTTCAAATAAGAAGCAACAAATCATATAATAGCCACATGAGAGAGGAGTTTTGTGAACACAACTCTGGCTCTTCACCCTTCCTAGACATGAACTTTTCCATGTTGTATCTGACCTAGAATATGAAAAAGAACCTTATCAGAAACATAACATGCAAGTACAATTGCTTCTAGGAGATCCATCCAAGGGTGCTTGGCAAAATCAGAAATTCTTAGAAGTCATATCTCCAAAATCTTTTGAATCCTGATTTTGGCATTCTGGATTCAAGCTCCAAAGTTAACAATTTTACGAATTCTAAAAGTTTTGAGCTCCTTGAGAATTTGTACTGAAATCTGACAACTCAGCACTCTGTCATGAAAATTTTATCTTAAATGGTCTGGGAAGGAATCTAGATAAATCAATTTTAGTAAGTCCCCTTATTATTCTTAGGATTAAAAAAGTTTAAATAGATGTGTGGTTCTGGATAAAATATGAAGTTCTTAAATATTTAGGATAGATTAAGTGGTTCTTACAATTTTTTAACTCAGCTGAAGGGTTCATGGGCATATGTGATGACTAGGGAAATGATTTAATCTTGGCTGGGTACATAAAGAAACAGACCTTGATCAGATACAACGTAAATGAATGTTCCTGACATAGAATTGGACATAATACCTGTTCCTGACATAATACCTGGTGTTATGTCAACGCCAGGTATTACTATGATATCAAATACTAAGACATCTTGGGGCAGGAAGAAAAAAAATGGGAGCAACAGTTCATAGTCTAGCTATGGACTTGGTAGAAAACTGTTTCCCTTGCTGTATTCTCTGTATGTCTTTTTCTTAAGAACAAGGAGATGGGAGAGGCATGGAACAGGCATGTAGAAATGCAAAAAAAAATTTAAGTGCCGCGTGCCATAAGATGATGTTTTAGAAGTACTTTATAGATACCATCTCATTTTATTCTTCAACACCCTTATGTAACAGGCATTATTTCATGCCCACTCGTACAAATGAAAAAACTGAGGCACAGAGAGGCTGAGCAACATTCCCCAGTTTGCAGTCAGTGAAAGACAGAGCCAGGCTTCGGGTGACCTCAAGTTACATTAAGGACAATGCAGAAAGTAACTGTAAGCAACAGTTGACAAAGTACTGAACATGTTTCATCCATCCCCTCAGATAGTGAATTATTTTTATTACTGTGTTCACTTTTGTCTTTCAAAGCTTAGCATTCAGTTGATTTGCTCTCCATCTAATCACCATTTCTTAGCCTGTCAACATGTTCTGGAGCAACAGCTGCAATAGCAACACACACGAAAAATTCCTCTTGACAATTAACTGGTTGGGTTGAAATTAATCTGTTTTTTTCATAATTATAAATTGATTTTGCCATAATATGCAAGAAAATGCAAGATTTAGTTGAAGCATTTTAATTAAGTATTTTGAGCCTTCGCTGCCTTTCACTGGAAGGCAATTCTTTTCCTAGCCTGGCATTTCAGTGACATTTGTCCTCAGGTTGAATTCACAAACAAAAAATCAAGATCACTGCCAGCCTATTAGCATGCTAGAGAGGGATGAATACAGCCAGCCAGCTAAAACAGAGGGTCTTCTGAAATTACTATTGAACCAACACTCACCAAACATGTGTCTGTATCTGTGTCTTCTGCGTGTCTGTGTGTGTGTGTGTGTGTGTGTGTGTGTGTGTGAGAGAGAGAGAGAGAGAGAGAGAGGAGGGGAGAGGATGACTGCGTACCAAAAAAACAACTTTAGACCTTCAAGCTTGCTGAGATATTTGAGAATATTTATTTTGCTGGATGTTTTTCTCTCTGGAAGTTTGATAGCTCCAGATTGGCTGAGCCATCATCTGTCACAGATAAAAATGTTCAGAATCCCAAGAACAAGGACTAAGCTTGTCAGCATGCCTTCAGAAGCTGCCATCCAGCTCAGTACTAACCTATTAATCACCATAGTGTGGGAATAATGCACCTAGCTGCTCAGTTATCCAACCCACATTTTAATTTTGTCTGCAAAGATATGGTGAAAAACTCAGACTATACCTTGTTTATATCAACTTATGATATTCATCTAATCTAGCAGTTAGTGGCTTAATCAACAGAGAAAAAAAATTTTTTGTTTGTTGCTTTGTTTTTTAGTAAACCTGCGGTGCCCACTAGTGTTTACCACCTTCTGGTCTAAAAAATTCCAAGTAGTCTTTGAAATATATTGATTGATCATAAAGAATTATTCAGTGGGCTGTTACAAATGTATACAATGAGTCTAGTCTCTCAATTAACTGATTTACAATATTGAGCTGAAACCCAAATGAAGACATGTGGGTTGGTATTTTCTTTATGCTTCTATCATGCCACTTTCTGTCAATACATAAAACTTAAACCAGGAAGAGAACTGCATGTTTTCAATCTGGAACCACCTCATCTGAAGTTTCTCAGGATCACTGATAATAGTGGGACACTTATGTTAATGGTTTTTCAACATTTTGGAAACTAGTTTCCAAATTGTTTGGAATTATTATTTGGACTTACTTACAAGTCAGATGTTTGCTTTATCTACTTAAAAAAATTTTTTTTAATTTATTTGTCTTTTAGAGGGGAAGGGAAAGAGAGAGGGGGAGAAATATCAATGTATGGCTGCCTCTCGTGCGTCCCTTGCTGGGAACTGGCCTGCAACCCAGGCATGTGCCCTGACTGGGAATCGAACCATGATACTCTGGTTTGCAGGTTTGCACTCAATCCACTGAGCTACACCAGCCAGGGCTTGCTTTATCTACTTTTATATAATGATTCAATTTCCTTTTAAAAAGTAGTTTTACTATCAAAGAAGTATGAGCCCATTGTTCAAAAATAAAAGTCCACATAAATACATGCAAATATATAAAACAAGTAAAAGTTTCATTTTCTACTCCATCTCCTTTCTTCTTGGAAGCAATCGTTATTAAATATGTTGAGTCAGGGAATAAAACATAATTTAAAAGAATATTATTATGGATGTGACAGGTACTAACACGGAGAATTGTTTATAAGTTTTGTTCTTCTCTCGGTACAATGCTGAGATTCTGGGTCAGAAAGTATAAAACATAATTTCAAAGGTTTAATCCCTATAACTAACTATAGTTAAATAAGTAATTTGTAAATTATATAGCTCTTCCTGGATTCAGGGATCTTCTGAGGGCTATATAAAAATTACTTTATTAATCAGAATCCTATCACTGGCTAATGTCAATAAATGGAACACGGTATACATAAATTTGCGAACTTTGCAAATGAAACAAGACTTAATAGAGTAGGTAAAGGGTTATGTACATGCATATTTAAACAAACTACACTAGAATTTATCTCACAAGAAGAAACTGCCCACCAAAAAAGGTCAGTGAGGTTGAGACTACCTGCTGAGAAGCAAACAAAAAGTGAAGTGAAGTCAGTATTCCAGGGCATTTTTTCTGATCCCTCAGATGACTGCAAACAGCGGGAGCAAAAAGTAAGGTTGGTTCCAGGACAAGTACTAACAATTAATTCTTTGCCAGCAAGTCCTTAATTTGGATTTAAACCAATTTAATTAAAATTTTGGTGATTTAAACAAGACTTAGTTGGTAAAGATAATGTTTTTCCTCTCATTTAAAAACTGTTTAATTTTAAATTGATAGCATGATGCCTAGAGCACAATCGAGTTTGGGACACATTTAAAGAGGTCACCATTTGCAAACTCCGTCACAATGTTCCTGGCAGTAGTGAAGAAGGAGATGAGACTGCAATAATCACCAGTGTTGATCAGATTTAAAGATGATGAACATAAAGACACCCTTCTGGCAGGAAGGAAGGTACGTGACAGTCATCTGAAGTTTTTAGTAATGTTTGTTATTCAATGTGAATAAAACTAAATTCATTCATCTTTCCCTTTATATTTGTTTACAGTCTTTGTTTATTCTAGCAACAAGTATTTATTGAGCACCTACTATGCACTAAGTACTGTTCCAGGCATTGAAAATACATTAGTTAACAATATAGACAAAATCACATTCTTGTGGAGCTTACCCATTATACTGGGGAAGAGTGATAAAAATACATATAAAATAATTTCAGCTAGTGACAAACACTATAAGAAAAACTAAAGTAGGATAAGAGGTTAGACAATTATGGGTTAGGGATACACAAATATAAAAGTTTGGGAAAATTTCAGACTTTGAAACCTCCATAAATAACCATGTAGCTGATGAAAATATCCCTTACTGAAAAATAATTCATATTTTGTCTTCAACATAATTCCCATTTACTTAACCATCCCTGTAGTCCAAATGCCCTTTTGCAGGTCAATTTTTTTTTCCATTTAAGTTTTCCTCCTACATGTGTAAACATTGTTTTCATATACTTTTTCATCACAAATTTTTCTAAAATCATAATTCCGATAACATATGTAGGAAATTTGAGACCTTTTGTTTTTAAGTACCAAACCTCTGTATTAACACAGTAACCTGAACTTGGACTAAATATGATACAGAAACATAAAAACAATAAGCCTTTTTTGGCACAGCACACTAATTAAAAGCAAAGTTCTAGATCCAGACAGCTTAACTTCACATTCCAGCTCTATCACTCTCTAATTGTATAATTTTGGGCAATTTCCTTAATTTGGTGGTCCAGGTTCCTCATCTCTAAAATGAGGATGATAATAGTACCTTCCTCTAAAGGTAGTTTTTAGGGTTAGATGACAATCTGGAAAAATATCAGTCATTAAGCACCCCATCAAAGTTACCTATTAAATATTAACCATTTTCCCTTTAGATATAAAGACACTTACTTTTAGAAAAACCTGCAGATCTTGAGTCTGAGTGTGCTGTAGAATGTCTTGTTGTAGATGTTTGAATATAGCTATACAGATATACACTTGATAATCAGGACCAAGGAAAACACAAGTGGCAATATAATGGCAGATTTCTATCCAATCTAAATAATTCCAAAAACACTGAGTTATCCATTGCAGACAAATCTAGAAGAAAAAAAAAGTCAATTCATTAGAAAGTTTGTAACACTGTTATTTGACTTCCAAAAAGCAATAACCAATAATACACATAAAACCATTGGAGAGCTTAGCATTCAATGAGAACGGAAAAACATCCCACATCTAAGCCAGACCAGGATGCTTCAACTATTTACTCAGTGCAAGAGAACACGGTCATGTCCTTGGGACTCAGGATGTGGGGTCAACGGATGATGCTCACACTGCTCCAATACCTATTGCTCAACACCTTCTCTACTCTTCTTCTCTTACTGATAACACCAGTCTGCTCTCTACAGATACTATTTTAATTCAGAAATGGAAGATTTTTTTCTGTCCTACCTATAATCACAGATGTGTAATTATGCAGATGACAGATTGCTAAATGTTACATTAATGCAAATGGACTCTTGCTGAATCACAAAACAATTTAATCCAAACAGAATTATATAACATAAAAACTGAGAGCTAATGTACAGAATATTTAAAGATGAGACTTTAAAAAGCATCATATGCGTTACTTTTTGAATCACATTTGTACAGATTATAAAAGAGATAGATGTGCATTGTGGAAAAAATGGTGAAGTTTAAGAAAAAAAATCAGTCACACAGAGATTAACATTGTTAACATTTTGGTACATTAATGTTATGAATGGAATTGTGTATTCCTGCGAAAAGTATGTCAAAGTCCTAACCTCAGTACTTGTGAATGTGACATTATTTGGAAATAGGGTCCCTACAGAAATAATCAAGTTAAAATGAGGTAATTAGTGTGAACCCTATTGTAATATGACTGGCATCCATATAAAAAAAAGAAAATTTGAACAAAGAGACAGACCTACACAGAGGAAAGATGTAGGAAAGTCACACACGGAAAATGTCACACATGAAGAAAGATGATTGGTGCATCTATACAAGCCAAGAGAAATCTAAGACCACTAGAAACTAGGAAAGAAACATCAAACTATAGCCCTCATATGTTCAGAGGGGACATGGCCTTGCCAAAACTTTGATTTTGATTTCTAGCTTCCAAAATTGTGAGACAATACATTTCTGTCATTTTAAGCAGCCTAGTTTATAACACTGCAGTCTTGGGAAATCAAGCCAATTCCAGCATTTCAGTTTTCATTAATGAGCAACACATTACCACTGAAGAAAGACTTCTTTTATTGAACCTATCTTTTCCTATGGTTTTATGACTTGGGGGTGGTGGGAACAGATGTGGTAGTGTATATCAATTTATCATAGATATAAAAGATACAGACATACAATTTTTCTCTTGTTCTATCATTTTATTCTTTTAAAAATATATTCTTGAATAGTTTCAAAAATTTGTTTTTCTATCCCAGATTCAATTTTGGGGGATGCTGATTCTGATTTTAAGTGCCTTTAATGTGGCATATTTGTTTACTAGGGCTGCCACGACAGAATACTGGAGACCGGGCAACTTAAACAGCAGGAATCCATCTTCCCACGATTCTGGAGAAGTCCAAAAAATCAGTGTCGGCTGGGTTGATTTCTTCTGAGGCCTCTTTGGCTTGTAGATGGCAGCCTTCTTTCATATTTTCACATGGTCTTTCCTCTACATGTCTGCGTACAAATTCGCTATTCTTATAAGGACACCACTCTTACTGGGTTAGGGCACACTCTAATGACTTCATTTTTACACAGTCACCACCTTTAATAAAGACCTTATCTCTAAGCAGTCATGTGCTAAGGGTTAAAGCTTCAGCAGGTGAATTTGGAGGAACACAAGTCAGCCCATACTAGATGGTATCACTGCATTTTTCCCCATATATACTAATGCCAATCAACCTACGAGTGGGTTGTGTTAATTAAAATGAGAATATCTGGACGCATGAAGGAGAGACACCTGAAGAGTGGAAAGCAGTACAAACAATCTCTGCAGCCAGAGAGAGCAGTTCCCAGGTGTGAGTTTAAGGGACTAGCAAGGAGGCAAGATAAAAGGGGCCACAGGTTCTGTCCATCCTTTTCTGGCTGGCCTTACTTTTCTACAGGTTGAACGGTGTGAAACTGCTGCTCACTGACTCATTTTAACCTTTAAACCCACCAACTTTATATGTTCCAACAAATATATCTGAAGTTACAATGTATGTAGAAAGACAGTTATCCACCTGCCTTTATCCAGATTGGTTAAAAGAAAAATCACCCCAGAATCTAACTAATAACCTCAGAAATAACTAATTCCAGAATCTGCAATTACTTGTTTATTATATAGTTTCTAATACTGTTGCACTTTTCTGGCATTTACATAAATTCAAGCATTGCTTTCTTCCATTTAATGGAGATATATAGCTGTATTTTCTATGTATGGGGGATCTAGGAGAGGAAAATGAGAAAAAACTGAAAGCACTTTGAAAATAATAGGCTATGTATATGTTATTCTATAACAAAAATACAGATGTCTAGTATTCAATTAAAATATTTATTGAGTATCTAATATACGAGGTTATAATTTTTAAGTGAACAAAAGGTCCCTGTTCTCAGGGACCTCACACTTAAAGGGGAGACGGGCATTTAAAAAAATTTTTTGACCCTCCTGACTTGGCAGAAATTATATCTCCTATTGTTACTGTATGTATGAGATACTTCAGAATTATTAAATTATAATAGAATTCTAAAAGAATTCTTAAACACTATTCCCCTGGTAGAGTGCTGAACTATGAGTCACAATTTTTAATCCCTGAGCAAGTCACTTCTCCATCTTTATAAAAGGGGAGGGTTTGCAAACCAGCTGATAGTCCGGCATTCTCACAGGACAAAGGGAGTACTGAGTGCCCAACTAAGCAGGATAAACATTTTCCTTAACATTTTTTATTATGTAATTAAAAAAATATATATATATATATAAATTGTATAGGAACCAGATCTAACGCAGATGGGAAAAATAGACAAAAAACTGTACTTGAAAAAAGGTGAAGTTTTGATGATGAATGATGTTTTGTCATAAAAAAAAATTCTGATTTGTTGATATGTTCCAAGTCCATTTTCCTCTATAGGTTCCCTCTCTTTAAGTGGCTATAAGTTTTGTCTGTGATTATTTTAAAACACATTGAAAAATCTCAGCTATCAATGGTATCAGTATAACTTTCATTTTGTTTGTCATGCAAGAAAAATAATACCGATCCTACCACGAGTAATGTGATTACTTAAAACACAGCATTTTCCTGTTCTTTTGCCATCAGACGGCATGTCCCTAGGCACCTGCAGTCAAGTGACAGCACTTTGAAGTGCTTCCCATGGGCTTAGACCATCCAGTGGGTGCTGTTAGGTTCATCTGACTCAGCGGGACTGTCTGTTCCTAATTTAGTCAATTATTATTTATATGGACTTATTATATAAAATACTAAAATGATTTGAAAGTAAAAATATGAGGCAAGGAATATTCCCTGGTTTTTCAGCTCATTCCTTCTCTATCATAAAAGCCTACATTTTAAAAATATGGTACACTCATTCATGTTTTTAATATAAGCACATTTGAACCACCTTTTCTTATATAAATGGTAACATTACACAAATTCTTTTCCTTCACCTTCTTCTCACTTAATAAAAAGATCCCATATATATGACAATATACAAAAGATCCATGACAATATGCAAAGATAGTTTTCACTCATTTTTACAACTGCATAGTATTCCACTGTGGATAAAACATTATTTATTCAACCAAATCCCTATGCATAGACATCTTCATTGTTTCTAGTCACTTGCTACTATAAATAGTGCTATGAAAACATATTTGTGTGCATTTATTTTCAAAATTTTCTCAAAGTATCTCTGGGATAGACTTTTATAAATGGCATTGCTGGGTTAATGGGTAAATGCACATGTAATTTTGTTAGAAATTGCCAAATTCCTTCTAATATATCTCAAAAATATGCAATACTATATTTTTTAAAAAGCAGTTGAGTCCTCATATTTGTGGGAAAAATAGTCATTTATAAAATAGTTTAAAAAGAAAGTGAAACAAACTTTTGTTTTTATAGTAAACCAATGTTCTTTAGACCTAATTATACTTTAAGACACTTAAATGGCTTTTTTAGGTTTATAAGGAAAAAAATCACATGTACAATATATATCAAAATGTACTATAGCCTTCCTAGGAAATTTTTCTCTTTGATCATACTTAAGCTTATGCCAAAGACCATTAAGATGCAACATTGAGATAAACATAATTATTTTATCTGAGGTAAATTATTCTCATGGGTATGGAGACTTAACAATCTTCAAAGCATTCCATAACGATTAAGGAAAAAAAGTGAAGAACAATTCCTTACGGATACCTGAATATTGCTCTTCAATTCCCTGACTGGGAATTGAAGAGCAATCCTTTAGTTTGCAGGCCCATGCTCAATCCACCAAGCTACAACAGCCAGGGCATCACTGTGGTTCTAATTTGCATCTCTCTGATGGCTAGCGATGCAGAGCATCCTTTCAGATGTCCCTTACGGATACCTGAATAAGCCAAAGTATGTATGATTTAAATGATTGAGTTTTATGATCCAAAGACACTATCTATTTTTAACAACTATTCTAGTCTTATTGTATTTGCTCTGACCATAGAAATAATTACTAAGGTAAGAAGTAAAACTCATTTCAAAATCAAATATGTCATTTTAAGTGAAGTCCTCATTATCAGGATAACCTAGTAAAGATGGAGCACAGGGAAGGAGAAGATATTTCAAGTAGCATCATTAGCCACATGAGTCTGAGAGGCAAAGCCTGAGACACATTTCTAAGTCTGACTCTGAACAAGGGGCATTCCTAGCCTTGACATTCTGCTTTGCCTTCATACACTTTTATATTTTCACAAAGCACTGTCACAATATATAAAATGATACAACTGTTATCTATAATTCTGCTTTCATGGTAATGGTGGTGGTAGAGACCCAGCAAAAGAGAAAAACCGAGGTTTTTCTAGAGTCAATTCAGAAAATTATCCATGTTAGTCCACTTGCTAACACAGTAGACCACAATAATCAATGATATGCCAAATGATGTCCCAAAGGAATTACAAGAAATAAAGGATTAAAGGTACCTGGTACTTCTTAAACTAGGAAAGTTAATAAAATTCAATAAGGAAAGTTCTGTTAAATTGGTCAAAAAGTTAATTAGAAAAAACGATTTTCTGTTCATTTAAGAAGAAGGAATATATATTTGAATTTCTATTTCCTTGCCAATCTCAATTACTCTTAGAAGAAACTCCTCAACAGATAGGTATTTTTAACTTTTTTGTATTCTAGTTGAGCTTGTTATTTTTACTGCAAAGAGCTGCATATTTTATTCAGCAACCTACCCACAAATCCTTCATTAATCAACCAATCCCCATCCCTTTGTGTCTATAAATTAACAACTTGAAAAGTGCTGCTTCTAATTAGGTCAAAATGAATAAGCTTTGAAATATAAAATTTGTATCCAAATAATTACTTAAGCACACATACCCATCTAGTTAATTAAAAGTAGTGTACATATTTTATAATTACCAGTAAAATGGCAAATATATCAACAAAGCAATGATATATACATTAGACACAAAATGACTAGTTCACAAAAGGAGGCATGAAAAAAGCATTTTTATGTTAGATAATTTAAGAGACATAATATTACTGCTGAGAAATAAGGCAGTGGTTTTTATTAGATAAATCTACTTGTCACATGTAAGCAATTTCAAATTGATAAAGGTAACACAATTGACAAAGGTGTCAAATTGATAAAAAGATGACAAAATGATAGATACAAAATTGATACAGTGTGGCGGCCTAATGCATTGCAACTTTTCCCCACAGTCTTTGGTAGTCCATTTTGAAATTAAAAGGATATATGTCAAGAGCTAGGAAATTATTGGAAGTATTAGACAATACACATCATATCAATCACAACTAGAATGGCAAAAAGGAACTCTGGGAACATATTGCTCCCGACTTCAACTTTTAGAAGAATTGAAAGAATGTATTGTTGAGCTTATATTAAATATTTAAGTAACTATGTCCAACCAAAGTTAACATTTTGTAACTCAAATTTCCCAGGAGTGTTTTAGGCACATACACAGTAAGAGCTACAATCGGCTGAGAAAAAGTATTCCCTTCTACTACATGTAATTCCTTAATTAGGCTTCTAATTAATTTCAGGAAATTTAAAACAACAGGTGGAGTAACCTGGTACAAGTAAATGTAATAAATGACATAAGGGCTCTTCAAAGTAAGTATAAGATCGTGTCATAATATTAAAAAGAACTACTGCTTAACTAAGAGGAAAATGTTTCTGGTAGGACAAATCCAAGGGAATGAAGGATAGTTTACTATTAAGAAATATACCTAGCATGTCACATAAACAGATCAAATAAGCTCCCAGATCAAGATAATCTTAACCATAAAACCTGTGGCCCCTGCCATGTGACTACATGCACAACTCCAGGCCCGAGAAAAATCGTTGAAACTTCTTAGAGCCCAAAAGCAGAAACACAACTCTGGGCTTTCTTGTTGGGTAAGATACAGTATCTTATAATTTGTTTATGATAGCCATTCTGATCTGTGTGAAGTGATGTCTCACTGTGGTTTTTTAAGAGTCTCCTTATTTTTTTTGAGATTTTATTTATTTATCTTTAGAGGGGAAGGGAAGGAGAGATGGAGAGAAATATCAGTGTATGGCTGCCTCTCATGTGTCCTCTGCTGGGAACTGGCCTGCAACCCAGGCATGTGCCCAGACTGGGAATTGAAGAGCAATCCTTTGGTTTGCAGGCCCATGCTCAATCCATCAAGCTACAACAGCCAGGGCAGCACTGTGATTTTAATTTGCATCTCTCTGATGGCTAGTGATGCAGAGCATCCTTTCAGATGTCCCTGTGCTCATCATTAACAAAACAACAACAAGAAGTTCTGGCCAGGTTGCAAAGAAAAGGGAACCCTGGTGCACTGTTGGTGGAAATGCAGACTGGAGCAGCCACTGTGGAAAACAGTATGGAATTTCCTCAGAAAACTAAAAATGGAACTGTCTTTTGACCCAGCAATTCCACTACTGGGATTATACCCTAAGAATCCTGATATATCAGTTTAAAAGAACCTATGCACCCCAATGTTCATAGCAGCACAATTTATAATAGCTAAGTGCTAAAAGCAACCTAAGTGCCCATCAGTGAGTGGATCAAAAAACTATGGTACATTTACATAATGGAATACTATGCAGAGAAAGAAGGAGCTACTACCCTTCATGATAACACAGATAAAACTGGAGACTATTTTGCTAAGTGAAATAAGCCAGACAGTGAAAGACAAATACCATATGATCTCACCTATAAGTGGAACCTAATCAACAAAATAAGCAAGCAAGCAAAATATAACCAGAGACATTGAAATAAAGAACAAATTGACAGTAACCAGAAGGGAGGGGAGAGGGAGGTAATGGGGGGGGGGGTGAAGGGTCATCAAGGAACATGTATAAAGGACCCATAGACAAAATCAAAGGGGGGAAGGATTGAGGGTGGGGGGTGGGGGGGTGGAGCAGGGGAAATCGGTGGTGGGAAAATGGAGACAACTGTACTTGAACAACAATGTAAATAAATAAATACAATAAATGAAATCTGAAGTAAAATAACTCATTAAACAATAAATCAAGATTATACTGAAAAAATAAAAATAAAATAAAAATTTAAAAAGATACAGTATTTCACATACCAGATACTCAGTGTTCATATAAATTACTGCCCTCAGTTACTTAATCTTTAAGTTTGCCTCTAAAGCAAATATTATCTCCATTAAAAAGCCTAATTTCACAGACTTTCAGATTATCTATACCTTTGAATAGTTGAACTTGAATTCAAATTCTGTGAATGCCAGATGTCTTGTATAAATTAAAGGTATATATTCTTACAATAAACCCAAGATAAAGGAGCCAGTTTAGGAATTTGAACACAAAAGTATAAATACTTACAAAAATGATCTTATTAATTTAAATGTATTTCTTATATCTGAAAAGAATGTAATTTTCTTTAAAGACACCAAAATCTGGGGGTTGAAGACACATTACTCCCTTACAGATTACCTGTGATGGCGCAAAACCAGACATGTGGAAAGCTGAAAACACAAGTGGCACCTCCGCCTTCAGGAGCATTTCAACATAGTGACTGCTGCAAAAATACACAGGATGGATGCCAGACTCTATCGTGTCAACAGGGAGGTACCTCTGCATGAAAGAGAAAAATTGAGAATTAATGACTGCGCAGCTAAAATAACCAAACATCCTAATCTTTTGCTCTGAATTGCTACTTCACAATTAGTGTGGTCTCATAACAAGTTGTGCAAATATTATAGTTACATAAATTTAAAAGTCAGGTGTTAAACACTGTAGAAAGCATAAATTTCAGTAAATGCAATATAATATTCCTTCCCAGACACTTTGTAATATGGCTGACACTTTGGCTACTTCAAGCCCTTGTGCAATGACGGGGATGGGAGTTGCATGAAAGAATAAATATACTGGTGAGTACATGTGTAATAAATGCTTTACTGTTTAATTCTATGCGTATTTCAATATACTAACTATTCTTGGCTTTGTCCAATGATTCCATAAAATTAAAAAGTTTAATTTGTCAGTTCTTAGAGATATTGCCTATCCCCCTTTTTCTAAGTAATGTTAACCCAGCTATAAATCTGTGTAACTAATAAATGAAATTAAGTACTCCATTAGAAATTCATGTCTAAAAGTGGGGAAAAATACATAATGCATTTACATCAAAGTTTTCAGGCCAATTATATATATAATGATATGTAAATATAAATATATTTATATATAAAATATATAAAATAAATATGTATAAAATGTACACTTATATTTTATATGTATTTATATGCCTATATACTATATATGTGTGGATAAACACAAATATTTACAGACTTGTATTTCCTAGCAATTTCTTTAAAAATCTGATTTTTTCAAATTTAGCTCTTAGATACAATTTATTATCATAAATGTTCTATAATGAGTATTACTATAAACTCAATATTTAATCACAATAATTTGAACAAAGAATAAACTTGAAGATATAAGTTAATGTCAAGGAAAACTCTTAGACTAGCAGTTATACCCTGTAGGCTTATAATAAAAATAGATAAATTAGATCTGAAGAATACATAATTAAGAAAGTTTCAGAAAGGCATTTTATGTTCTTGCCTTTACTGGGCAACTCTTCCTTTTAAATCTTTTTAAAAAATATATTTTATTGATTATGCTATTACAGTTTTCCCAATTCTTTCCCCTTTATCCTCCTTCCACCCTGCACCCCCTAAACCTCCAGCATTCCCCACCTTAGTTCATGTCCATGAACTCAGTCCTTTGGCTTCTCTGTTTCCTATACCATTCTTTACCTCTACCCATCTGTTTCATGCCTACCAATTATGCTTCTTATTCCCTGTACCTTCCTTCCTCCACTCTCCCCATCACTTCCCCGCAGATAACCCTCCAAGTGATCTCCATTTCTCTGATTCTTTTCCTGTTCTAGTTGGTTCCTTAGTTTTTGTTTTGCTTCTTTAGGTTCAGTTGTTGAGAGTTGTGTTTGTTGTCATTTTACTGTTCCTAGTTTTTTATCTTTTTCTATTTCTTAGATAAGCCTTTTAAACCTTTTAAATAAAAGTAAGTTAATACTTTTTAATTAAAACAAATCAAACTCACATGAAACAATCACATGAGAATTAGAATTAGAATTAGAATAAGGAGGATTTCTTCCCAACTTTATTGCTAAGGTGCTTTTAAGGATTTAGGTTTGACTTATATACTAAAGTTTCTGAAATCATTGGATTAATTTATTAATGGTTTTTCTCTTTTATTGTTCATCATGATAAATGATAATTTGTCATTTCACATACATAAATATATATTTGTAGAAAAATATATGTTGTAGAAATACTTTATGACACATTCTCAGGAAGATACTTCCTAGTATACAGAAAAAACCCACTAATTTTCTACAAGCATGAAAGACATACATAGCACATTAATTGCCCATCTTGTAGTCAATTGCTGATGGATGTCTAGGATAAAATATAATCTTTCTATTGAATAAATAAAAATAATAATACAAACTGCATGAGAATTAGCCTCCTTTATCTTCTTTATTTTCTTTTGTGAAATACACAGTGTTTCACTAATAAGTATTAGTAGAGTAAAATTAATGGATGTAATAAACATATGTAAAAGCAAGTCAACTTTTATATACATAATATTTTAATTTTCAATACAAACTTAGGTAATACTTTTCTGAATACATGTGTAATAATAGCATAAGAATTGCGTGTATAAGAAATAATTCTTACACAGTGTCTATGCAGCACTGAAAACAACATAGAGTTGGTCTGTTAAGAGATGGTGGTAATAGAATAATTAATTACACTGTCAAAAAAAAAAAACCAAGCCATTATTATGTAATGAATTCCTAAAGATGAGCAAAGAGTTCTTCTACTATTATAGATTATACTCTGTTGGGAGAAATTATACCATACTTTTTTGTAACCAAAACAAGCTCCTTAGCACCAAGCCATGAATAGAGTAGCTACTCCACAAATTATTGACTGAATGACAAGAAGAAAAGATGCTAATGATTTACACACAGTACTCACAGTAAATTCACTTGCAATAATTTTATTAATTTGTCTATTAATAGCCATTTCATAACTCTAATTTATAGTAAATGCTGTTCTTAAAGCCAGATCAGTGACATCTGTGAGCCACACAGATGCAACAGAATATTTCAAATCTTCAAATGATAAATTATATTTGTTAAACTTTTAGTATTTTGATGTATTGTGCTTGGTCACAACAGTCTGAAAGGATGATAACACTTATTAAAGGTAACTGTAAATAAAACCCAGAATATGCCCTGGTTGGTGTAGCTCAGTAGCATCATCCTACAAACCAGGGTCATGTTTTGCTTCCTGGTTGGTTGCCAGGTTGCAGGTCAGGTCCTTGGTAGGGCCTACAAGGCACAACAAGTCCATGTTTCTCTCACACATCAATGTTTCTCTCCCTCGCTTTCTCCCTCCCTCTCTCTCTAAAGATACATATATACATACATGCATACATAAAATCCAGAATATAGGATTAAGTAGAACACATGTAGGATAACGACAGCATTTACTACATCAACTATGTGACATATAAACTGATATATAAAGTATGCTAAATTTGTGAAAAAATATCAGTAAAAATTTTTGGTTTGGAATATACTAGAAAGTGGCATAATATGAAACAATGAAACACAGAGTACTTTACTTCAGTGATTAAAAATAAAATATATGTACTTTTTAGAAGTGAAAAATAGTAAGCAGTTTCTTAGTTTTTTTTTTTTTCTTCCACTATAGGTAGCTCTGGTGAGCTGTTTCATTTCTGACACTAAGAAAAATCTAGCCCTATGTAGCTATGGAAATTAAACAGAAAGACCATTACACAGACAAATGCGGCAAACCAATCAAACCGACGCAAACCCAGTCCCGGTGCTGCACTGTGGGAACTGCGGCAGAGGACCAGCGCAGGGACCAGGGCAGGGACCAGCGCAGGGACCAGCGCGGCGACCGCAGCACTGCCCAGGTCTGTGCGCGCGTGCAACCTCCCGCAGACGCGGGAAGAGAGAACGCTGACAACAGTTTTCAAAAATGATTCTATAACTCTATAAAATATAAATCTTTCTCCTCTTGGGAAAACACATGAGAAAATGGAATCTTCAACTATAATTACAATTCAAAGTCACATGTAAGAAAGGGAAGGGGTTTTTACTCTAGTCTTCTTTCTTACAAGTGACTGGTCACATGACTTGCTATTGCTAATGCCCTGCAAGAGGGTAACAAGTGCGTCAGGACATGCTGATGGTTATAAAGTTTAAATGGAAACGTACAGGTGAGAGCTGCAACACGACTCTGGAGACCAGAAAGCAGAAAGACTTCCCAGGCCTGAAAAAGTGGAATCTTAACAGTAGAGAAAGCTCAGAACTAACCAAGTTTACCCTGAAGGATCTCCAAAAGATTCAAAAGCTGACAGCCAGGAATCTCTGGGAATAAAGAGGAAGAGACTAACATGAGAAGAACTGAAGGCACCTTTGAGCACCTGAACTCTCCTGTTATGTGGGCAGAAGTCTAAAATTTTATTTTCGGGAGCCAATAAAACAGAGGGTCTGTCTGGTCTGGCTGTCTGGCTGAAGGGACACTGAGACATCATTAGGAAGAGTGGTATCATATCAAAAGTGAAGGAAATTTCCAAAAACATCTAAATGTGTAGTTGAATTCTATTAGAATTTTTAACTCTAACCTTCCTTTGCGTTGGTCCACCAACGCGAGCAACAAATGGTCGGAAGCTTTCAGTTTAAGATGGAACTTTATTGGCCAAAGCTTTACCTGTGCAGGGGCGAACTCTCGAGGTGTCCGGAGACACGGTGCCCAGAGGGCTGCAAATGAGAGTCGCGCCTGGCGCTTACAGCCTAGGGTTTTTATTGGGGTGAGCAAGCAAGCAAATACAGAAGCAGACGTAGCCGTTAGCGATTGGCTATCTCGAGGGAACATACATGGCTATGCTTTCTGCTTGCAGCAGTGGATACTTTTCTGCAAAGACAAGGTCATGCACAGGCAGTTATCTTGTTCAGCACTCTTTGTACTTTCTGTATTTTCTATCTTCCTTGCTGAGTCTGGAGCCTGCCTCGGGTTCCTTGTTCCTCTTGGCTACTTTTTATCTAATTCCGGGCCTAACAAGAACTGTGTGTGAATTTTTATCAAATATTTTTTTTTGTGAATCTGAATATAAAATCCTTCAGTTTTTAATCTCAATTTAATTTGTTCTACTTTTTCATGTTTTTAGTAATGGATAAGGCATATATGATTTTGATTGCTATTATAATTACTATTTGAGATTAGGTATTCCTAATTAGAAATTAGAAAAAATGAATTGCTTACTATATCTTAATCTCTTATTTTATTAACAGCTTTAGTGTTAATAATTAGCCAAACTCTGATTCTTGATGAAATAATAATAATACAGGGCTCATAAAAATTTTTTTGAACCCTGACCATTGTGGCTCAGTTGGTTGGGTGTTGTCCTGTGAAGCAAGGGGTCGCTGGTTCGTTTCCAGGTGAAGGCACATGTATCCGTTGCAGGTATCCGAACTCGGTCCCTGGTGGGCCAAGTTCAAGAGACAACCAATCCAT